GGGCTGCCCAGTCAACAAAATATTATTTTTTAAAAAATATTTTGTTTATTTGAGAGAGAGAGAAAGCACGAGCAGGGGGAGGGGCAGAGGGAGAAGCAGGCTTCCTGCTGAGCAAGGAGCTCCACGTGGGACCCGATCCTAGGACTTCGGGATCATGACCTGAGCCGAAGGCAGACGCTTAACCGACTGAGCCACCCAGGCGCCCCCTTAACAAGATACTCTTGAAAAAAAAAAAAAGAACAAGGTGGTGAGAACTTGGCTTTACCAGATATCAAGACTTTATAAAACTACACAAATTAAGTGCAGAGACAAACAAAAGATTATTATATAACACTGATCATATTGTAGATCAATGGGAAATGTATGGACTTACAAAATTTTTTTGTTATGGAAATGGTTATTTTTATGGAAAGAAGTAAAATTGAACCCTTATCTGATAACACACATACAAATTAATTCCAGGTTTGTTAAAGGCCAAAATGTGAAAGGTAAAACTTCAAATCTTCTATTGAGAAGATAATATAGAATATCTTTATGACCTCAGGGTAGGGAAGAATTTCTTTTTTTTTAAAAAATTATTTGTTAATTTGAGAGAGAGAGAATGAGCAGGGGAGGAGCACAGGGAGAGAGTCTTAAGCAGACTCCACCTTGAGCAGGGAGCCCAGCGCGGGGCTCAGTCTCACAACCCTTAGATCACCATCTGACCTGAAACCAAGAGTCGGCCACTTAACTGACTGTGCCACCCAGGCATCTCAGGTAGGGAAGAATTTATTTTCTTTTTCTTTCTTTTTTTTAGGGAAGAATTTCTTAAACACAAAGACACAAAAAGCACTAACAATAAAAGAAAGAATATAAAGCTAGAATTTGTGTTCATAAAAAGACCCTGTAGGGCGCCTGGGTGGCTCAGTTGGTTAAGCGACTGCCTTCGGCTCAGGTCATGATCCTGGAGTCCCGGGATCGAGTCCTGCATCGGGCTCCCTGCTCGGCAGCGAGCCTGCTTCTCCCTCTGACCCTCCCCCCTCTCATGTGCTCTCTGTCTCTCTCATTCTCTCTGTCTCAAATAAATAAATAAAAATCTTTAAAAAAAAAAAAAAGACCCTGTAAAAGAGTGAAGAGAAAGCCATAAACTAAGAGAAGATATTTGCAACATGAACAATTGACAAAAGAATAGTATTTAGAATAAAAATACTTGCATAATAAATAAGCCCCTCCTGCTCATGCTCTTTCTCTCTCTCTAATTAATAAATCTTTAAAAAATAAAAATAAGATAAATATATATAACCCAGTAGAAAAATGGGAAAAGACTTGAACATTTCACAAAAGAAGAAACTCACATGGCCTATAAATATATGAAAAGACAATCTCATTAGTAATCAAGGAAAGGAAAATAAAAGGCATATCAACATTACATAGCCGGTAGAGTGGTAAAATTGTGTAGGTAAAAGGTGAAAGGGAAAAGGTAAAAGGATGTAGAACAATAGGTACGCTCATGCATGACATGTAGGAATGTAGGAATGTAAACTAAAACCACTTTTTTAAAAAAGTTTGTCGGGGCGCCTGGGTGGCTCAGTTGGTTAAGTGACTGCCTTCGGCTCAGGTCATGATCTCTCATTCTCTCTCTCTCAAATAAATAAATAAAATCTTTAAAAAAATAAAAAATAAAAAAATAAAAAAGTTTGTCAATAGGGCGCCTGGGTGGTTTAGTACATTAAGCGTCTACCTTTGGGTCAGGTCATGATCCTGGGGTTCTGGGATGGAGCCCCACATCTGGCTCCTTGCTCAGTGGGGAGCCTGCTTCTCCCTCTGCCCCTTCCCCTGCTCTTTCTCTCTCTCTCACAAAAAAAAAAAAAGTTTGTCAATTACCTGGTGAAGTTGAACATGAACATATCCCACAACCCAGAAATTGCATCCCTAGGTATATTCCCAAGAGAAATTTGTGCACATGTGCACTAGATACAGGTACAAGAATGTATAGTGATGTGATTTGTAATTGCCCCAAACTAGAAACAATTCACTGAATACCAATACTAAGTTATATATATTATGCAGTGTGATATTATGCAACAGTGAAAGTGAATGAACTACAGAGACACAGTTAACATGGATAAATATCAGTTATATGATATTTAGCTAAAGTAATATGTACCTTATGATTCAAAGGTGACACCGAATATGTTGCTTAAATATGCATAGATGGTACAACTTTTTGTGTGTGTGATTTTAACAGCTCTGAAGAATGGTTGGTAACCTCTGAGTATGAAAGATAGAGATGCAACCTATTAGAGGTACACAGGTGTTTCTAAGATATTGGTGATGTTCTACTAATTTGTGTGATTTTTATGGAGTTGTTAACTTTAATATTTTTAAAATTGAACATATATTTCTTAAACATTCTATATGAATGATGTAATACACAATAGAGTGTTTTGAAAATACATTTAGTGAGTTCTAATGGTGAAGATCAATGGAACATTATTGATTATCCAAGATGTTTTTAATTGCCTCATATGTACAATAGTTAACACAGAGCTCAAGTGCTGGGAACACAGAAGGTGCTAAAAATATTTGTCAAAGGGAGGAATATGAAATCAAAACCTGTTATTATGGAACTCATGATCAAGTTAGGAATGTAAGTACAACATAAACATCGAAAGATAACACAAGGAACCATATATAAGGACTATTTGAGCATTATAGGCAGTAAAGGCTATAAAAATTCAGTCAAGAGTGGTATTTATGAATGATATGATTAGAAGATGCCTAGTGGGGAAATTGGTATTTGAAGAAGTACTTGGCTAATATAATAATAATAATTGCTGACATTTATTGAATATTTAATATATACTAGGCACTGTTCTGAGTACTTTTTGTCTTTTAACTCACTGAATCATTTTCTTAAGAACCATATAAAAGAAAAACTATTATTAGCTCAGTCTGGCAGATGAGGATCTAAGGGTCAGAGGAGCAGGCAAAATACTTGTCCGGGGTCACACAGCTAGGAAGTGGCAGAGTCAGGATATAGGCAGTTGGACCTTAAGAGTCTTTGCTCCAGACCATTATGGTTTGCTGTCTCTTGGAGGATTGAGTTATATTTAGAACAGAAAATAACAGGTGAAGAGATGATGGCATTAACAGAATCAGGGCACCTGGAAAATCTGACATAAAATTAAGACACAAAGCTAGTAAAATAATTCTGAAGCAGATTACGAAAAGACTTGATATTTTACTTTGGTAGACAGTTTAATTATATTTGTTGAACATCATAATATTTCAAATAATCTGAACTGTGGAGAGATGACTCTGAAGAAGTTGCAAGGATTTTTCCCCATTCTCTAAAAATTGAGAGGGTAGTAGGGAGAGCTAGAGGGATGAGGAAACAGAGAGAGATTGAGAGATTACTTTGGATTTCTACAGTTAGATAAGACTTTATGGAAGTTGAACATTAAGCAAGATCTTTGAGCAAGCATGAGTAGACTGTGTGCAGAGAGAGAAGAACTTCCTCCTATATAGGTCTTTTACTTGATACAAAGGAGAGATAATTTTCTAGATAATGTGAAACATGTCAAAGAAATGCCATCTTTCTAAGTTTATCTTTCTAGTTAAAATCTTTACCGAGGCACAGAAAACATTAAAATGTTTATGGTTTATAAATTATCTCCTCTTTTGGATTAGAGAGATATGAAATGACCATAAATGGAGAAACAATAATGTCTTTAAAATTAAGTGGATTTCCTTTTTTAAAAGAGCATGAGGGCACCTGGCTGGCTCAGTTTGAAGACCATGCAACTCTTGACCCCAGGGTAGTGAGTTCAAGCCCCATGTTGGGTGTAGAGATTCCAAAAATAAATAAATAAACAGAGAAGAGCATAAAATAATTTTTTTTAAAAAATAGAGATGAGATATATAGGAAATCTTAGTTTAATTTTTGACATCCATATGGAAAATAACTTCCAGGTATTTAATGCTTTTTTAAAAGTCCAGTACAGGGTGCCTGGGTGGCTCAGATGGTTAAGCGTCTGCCTTCAGCTCAGGTCATGATCTCAGGGTCCTGGGATCGAGTCCCGCATCGGGCTCCCTGCTC